GCTGAACCACTTACTATAATTTACAAAAAAAAATAAAAAAAAAAGGAAAAGGGAATATTGTGACATAACTTACATTTTGTTGCTGTAGAATATTTAAACTGACGTTGATTCAACACACTTTTCTTTTATTAAACAAAACAATTCAATAAAGACTATAAATTTGACACGACTATTGCCGATGACCACCAAATTGAAAAGAGCTAAGAAGGTCCTAATTGCCGGCACGCTTCTTCGTTCGTCCCCTCTCCGCTCACCCGCACTGGGGTCTACTTTTCGGTCTTGTATTACTCCGCCAGGATAGGAGCGTAACTACGGTGGAAAATAGTGACTCAGGGGTATATTTTCGGTTGTAGATTCATGCTTCCAATTCTGTTTTCGTTTTGTTATTCTTTATTTCCTGTCGTCACCTCCGAGTAATTCAATTTTTATTGAAAACATATGCTTAATATTGATTTTTAAAAAATCGATAATTAAAATGTTGGTAATATAACAAGGGAAAACTCGGGCCTGAGCATAAGGTGTCTCTTATTGTACAAGGGAAATGACAGAGAAACTATTTTTCATATTAATCTCTAGAATATTCCTTCGGAATTCTAAATAAATTTAGAGATTTACGGAATCAAATATATTCCGAGGGGTTCTTTTGTGAGATTAATTTTTTTTGAAGTCGAATATAAAATATAGCGGGTTTTTCGATGTAGTTTTGACGAATGCTGTAGCTTCCTTTTTGTGTGAGGACGGATGTGATGAAACTGCGCATGTGCATTGACTAATTCCAAACAGCTGAACCGGAACCGGGAAACTTCTCTGCTTTTGAATTTGGTTCGGCACGTTACATATAGGGAAATTCAAGTAAATTAATAACAAAGTTTTTATAAACAAATATTTCGACCATGACCTGAGAAATTGCGGCAGTCCTCGGCAATCGTAGTGACTAAAGATTTATTTACGTAAAAAAAAAATAGATTTTTGTTTACAAAAAATTGTGCCACGTCACAGCACTAAACGTTCATAATTAAAATTCACAGTCAAACTGGCAAATATTTTTGTTTAAAACAAATTAACAATATGATACATTAATTTCAATATCACAATTTAACATAACCTGACATTTGATACTAACCAGTTTCATTTTGAGTAACGTGAAGTTTGCCGTTTACTCATTTTGATAATTTACTCAAAATGATAAGCAGCAAAAATGAGTACAGTTTTTTTCTGTGAATATAAATATATATATAATATAAATTTTTTAAATTATAATAACAAAAATAAATAAATGTTTTGTGAAAATAAAAAAAAATTTAATTGGTAATATATAATATAAATAATAAATATAATATAAATAAATAAATAATATAAAATTTTTTTTATTATTTTTAAAATTAATTAAATTATCGTGATTAATTAAATAAATTTTTGAAATTTGATAAAATTAATTATTATATATTTTAAATTAAACTTACCATCAACTTATGCAGCTTACTCTAACAGCAATCGAATCAATTTTTCTCACAATCCTCAAATTTTTTTTGCACGATTCTAACAATTTTATAATTTTTATTAATTAAAATACGACCGCACAAATGACAATGTCAAAACATTGAAAAATTTTAACTATCACAAAATTATGTCAAACAACACATTTTAAAAAACAAAAGACCTATAACAAATACTAACTTCAGGTGTGGACAGAATGAACGAAAGATATTCACGATAATTATATGTAAAGTTTCTTCACCCTTAAAAGGCAGACAAGGTACCCGGGTACCTCTATACATTTCATGCAGATAAATGTAGAAATTTCTATTAAAAAATTATGAAAAATTACATTAAACCATTTTTATAGTAATGCACATAATTTTTTTTATAAAATATGCAATTTAGTTACTATAGTTAAATAATAATATTCATAAGAAATCGCCAGTTTTTAACTTAAAAATTACCATAAAAATGTAGTTTGAATAGAGTTAATTTGTATTAAAAATGTATTTTAAATAATAAAAAATAAATTTATTTACATTTTTATATTTGATTTCATACATAATCTGCCTAAATATGTACCTGTTTTGCAATCTAGCAAATAGTATACACACGGATACTATTTAATGAAAGATCAATGAAATTGTGAATATATACAAAATAGTTAATACGTAATGGACAGTTTTTTAATAATCAACTAATAATGATAATGTTTTATTAGCAAAAAAAATCTTATTTTAAAATGAGTCTTCAAATCATCGCTAGTAGTTATAATGGAAATTGTATTGCGTAAATTCAGCAAAGCTGCCTTAAAAATGTTGCCTCTTAAAATAAGACCTATTTTCGGCCTTAAAATAAGACTTCTTGTTACAGTGTATTCATATTATGTGATTACTACTTTCATTGAAACGTCCACTACACTTAAAGTTAATTGAACTGCTCATTTTGATATAAAATCTTCAATAAATTAAACATAGGTACCCGGGTACCTCGTCTGCCCATAGAAGGTGTTTTATTCCTCAGTCCCATAAAGGTTAAAGACTGAAAAATATTTTCAGAAGTATATTATTTTTTGTATCAATATTTCCCATTTTTACACGTTTTCCCTAAATTGAAAAATATTTACTAAAATGTCTACTATACTTAATAAAATTTGTTATATATTTTATTTCAATGTACTTCATAAAACTTAAATTTTATAAATTTTCATAGAGTGCTTTTGGTGTTAATTATTTTTTACAATTGCATATTACATAAATATAATAGATTTGTGTACAGAAAAAATGTATTTTAAAAGCGGGAGAAATCTCTAATTTCTACCGGGAGAACCGGGAGAAAATCGGGAGGCAAAAAATCTAAAAATAGTGGCCACCCTGATAATGAAAGAAAAATATAATTCAAACTCAATTCAAATAGATTATAGACGCTGAACATAACAATTTTCCTGAATATATAAAATGCAATAAAAAGTATAATTAAAAAATTTTAATAACGAGCAATTAATAAAAATATGTAAACCTTGACTTATTTTTTCAAAAAAATGGAAAACAATTTAAAAATTACTGTAAGGATATCTGTAGGGTTTGTAAGGTTACCGTGTAAGCCTACAGTAAACTTGAGGTCATCTTAAAACTTCCGCCTCTATAGTAAGCTTACACAGTAAGGTCGTGGTAAGTTTACATGGTAAGGTTGTGGAAAGCTTCCCGTAAGGTTACTGTAAACATAGAGTAATAATAAAATATATTAAAAATAATTATATTGTAATATATATTATATTATAAATTTTATTTTATAAAAAATTATATATTTGGTAAAGTACTTCATGAACCCCAAAATGGTTTGTTAAATAAAATTTACTGCGCAGTCGTATGTGCCATAGAAAACTACTGCGCATAAATATTAATAAAATTTATTTATTAATAACATTCTATGTTTACAGTAACCTCACAGCAAGAAGTCGTGCTATGTGGGAATGTAAAATCTTTGCAGACGTCACGAAACGGAACGGGTGGAGTATAAATCCAACGTTGCCAAGCGTTACGCTAGTACTACATGAATGAAATGAAAACCTAAATGGTGATTGTTCTGACTAGCAATGTAGGGAGAGAACCTTCTTAAGGGGACATTCCGGTTCAAAATGGGAAAAAAGAAGGCTTTTTTAGGATGTATTTCTAAAGAAAATCATGATATTTATTCAGGAATTTTTGTTTACATGTTATAAATAACTTATTCAAGAATATGAAAAAATTATTTTTTTTCACTTGTAGTAAAAAAAAAATTTTTCAAAAAATGTTCATTTTTTTATGGGGGGATCGATTCCGAAATTTCTACAACAGATAGAGACATTAAATAAAAAGCATTTTCTTCGTTAGATATTTCTCTATGGATGGAACCTCAAAAACTGGAAAATTTCTTCTTCCCTTTTTTTCTATAACAGAAACAGTGTTTTTTTCAAGTTTTGAGAAAAACTTATCATAAAAAAAAAAAACCAAAATTCCACCTTTTTGAGGTTCCATCCATAGATAAATATCTAACGAAGAAAATGCTTTTTATTTTATGTCTCTATCTGTTGTAGAAATCTCGGAATCAATCCCCCTATGAAAAATGAACATTTTTGAAAATGTTGTACATCGCCGCCATCTTGGACTACAAGTGGAATTTTTTTTCATATTTTTCAATAAGTTATTTATAACATGTAAACAAAAATTTCTGAATAAATAATAATTTTCTACTAATTCTACCTGTATTCTAAACTATTCTTAAGAGAAAATTTCTTGAATTTTCGAAATATTACAATTGCTTTAAGTGATATAAAATTACCTACTCAGATAATAAGTTTCATTTAGTCTGTCCAAACAACAATTATAGTCAATAAACAGGGGAATGTATACATGAGTGGACCACCTTCTTATTTACTGAAATAATTTTTTTCAGTGAAGGAAATTTAAAACTGTAATATACCGTTGGATAAGTATTGTCTTCAGCTATAAGTTATGTATATTGAGATTTTTTTCCAGCTTCAAAGAAAAATTTTTAGATCGATTTTCTGAAGGGATGCTTTTTTGACAAAAAAAATTTGTATCTATTAGTGGACCACCTGCTGAAATCGATTAAAAATGATTAAAAATCAAATAAACATTAAAGGATTTCAATGTTTATAGAATATTTATTTATTATAAACATTTAGAACATTCAAACAAACAAAAATATTAGTGCATTTCAATTAATTTCAGTTTTACAAATGTTGCAATTAAAAAACCTTTTCACGAAATTTTTTTCGTGCAGCTGCATTAAACACAAAAATGCGTCGATTTACTTGGGTATCACACTAAAGAATTTTTAAGGTGTTATTTATTAGTTAAAATCAATAGTTTAATTTTTGGCCTTTGGTTTCATAAAAATCGGAAAGGTGATCCACTCATGGAGACGGTCCACTTACAAATATATTCCCCTATTATTATGTATCTGACAAAGAAGAACGTAGAAAACAATTGTAAATTTTTTATATTGAATCATTTTAGGGTCCTCTGAAACTTCTTCTAAATCCTGATTTCACTAAAAGTGCTTATAATCTGTTAGAAGTTTCTGTTATAATGGAAAATTGTGAAATGCGTTGCAAATATTCACAAAATTTTGAAAATATAAATTCTGAGGCACCAGCGCTTTCAGTTTTATTAAAAGCTCTTGATAGAGAAAGTGTTAGTCTTATAGCAACTTTGGAAACTGATGTTAAAGAACGAATTGTGCAAGAAGGAACAGAACCCAATATAATTTGCTGTGATGATTTAGAGGATATTGTGAATAACATGTTTTTCTCAAATTTATCAAAAACAAATGAAGTACTACATTTTGGGAGTATTTTCGCAGAAAATGTTTTAGAAAAAAAAGTAAATGTATTAAAAACAAACGAAACGTGTAGAAAAATAAAATTCGATCAAGCAAACATTGCCTGGCGAACTGCTGCTAATGTTACTTTATGTAGCTCAAGATTTCAGACAGAACTATTAAAACATCCAGTTGCTAAAACAATGGAAGAGTTACTTAAATTATTATCAGTTCTCGTTGCAACAAACAAAATTAAAGGTAAGTTTTCAGTGTAATAAATTAGTATACTTACTAATTTTTCTTTAAACTTTAGTGTTAAAGATGAATTTTGAAAATTAGGAAATTATTCAATATCAATCAAAGATTGATATTTTCTAAAACTCTAAAAGATCTTGGTACTTTAACATACGTTGCCCTTCGGACAAATTATATTGTATAGGTAGTGGAGCCCTTCCTTACCTCACTATTATTCAGTGAGTTGGTTGAGATTCCATATTAATAGAACAATTGGTTTAGGAATATTTCCAAGAAAGTATTAAACAAATATTTAAATAGTTGTATATAAATATATATTGTGTAACAACTCAAATAATACAATATTACAGTATTCTGTATTCTAATACAATTTTACGTGTGAATGAATGTATGTGTAAGAATGTTGTGTGTGTAATATGCTAAGAGTCTCTGGACTCTTACGTATATTTACCTTTGGAATTCCTCGTGTCTCAATTCAAACGTTATTTCAATTCTCCAATTTATTACAGTTATTTAATATTCTCTTTATCTCAATCAATTATGGTAAACAAATCTCAAAACTCAATTACTATTTATTTTCAAAACTAAGTGATCGCAAAAGAAACTCATTTATATACTCTTTAAATCAAACTCAAAAATCAGATTCTCTTTATTCAACTACTTCAATTATCAATTCTTTGTAAAACTCAATACTCTTAAATCAAATCACAATTCAATACTAAATACTCTTCTTGTCAAAAAATCTCAACTCAAAAATAAATACTTTAAATAATCTCAACTCAAAAATCAAAACTCAGATAAAACTCAATAAAACTCCAAATGGAAACAACCTCAAAACTAGATGTGTGTTTCAAAGAGTCTCTCAACTTAGAGACTCAAACTCCAACTCAAAACTCTCAAAAAAACTCCAAGCTCCACACTGAGCTCACTCTTCTCTCCCAAACAATTACTGACTGACACTCCTTGTGTCTACTGGTTTTATTGAGTTGATTTTTGGTGGGAAAAAGTATGTTTTATTTAGTAATTTTATTGTTGTCAATGTTCTTTATTGCAACCTTGCAATATTGGGGTAGTATTACAGCTCATTTTGTACTGACATACTTTGGATGCAGCAATCTTTATTGCGCCATCCTTTGTTTCTTGAATTAATTTACTTCACTTAGTTTCTCAATTTTATCATGAATTTTAAATAGGTCTTCTTTACAATTTAGGTTATTAATTGAAAGTTAATATTTAATATATAATAATTTGGACATCTCTAAGAGATCCTAAATGCATTTCTTATAATGTTTATAAAGTGTTATTTGTTTGAGTTGCATATTGTGTCCTTTTTTCAAGTATTGTATTAATAAATTATTAATAATGTTAATAATTTATTAATAAGAAGTTACGAAATTCATACGTAACATTTAGTAATATGTTTTATGATTTACAATTCCAAGAAATTTGAAAAAAAAATTTGGATCATATTTAATATTTATATTTAGTAATTTTCTGAAAAATTATCGCTTTTTGACTGAAACATCAACACCGTGCTCAATTTCACGAATATTTTGTAATCTTTAAATTTCTTTTACTAATTCTAAGTTTAAGTCTATAACCCCTTCATCGCTTGGCAAAGGCCGAATTTTTTTTATGATATTTCTTCGAGTGTTTCATCTTATTATTTTAGAGGGTTATAGAACTCAAACGATAAAATTCGGATAAATTGTGTTATTTAATAAAATTCACTACAACGTTTCGAAATCTAAATAATTTTCTCTTCAGAGAGTCTATCAAAAAATATATACAATAATTGTCAAAAACTGAAATAAAAATAAAAACGAAAGATCTTACCAAAATTAGAATTAGAAATCAAATCATACAACTAATTATCAGAAGTACAGAGTCAAACGAAATAAAACCGCTGCCAAGTTGAAGTATGAACTTTTTGTGTTCATTTCATGAACACTTTGCTTCCTCATGGAGATATTTTGTAATCAATTTATGGTAAATTATTTATTATTATAATAATTTTTAAAAGGTTTTAAGTTGTATTTTTTGGGCATTTGCAGATAGATTTTTAACATCAATAACTGCGTAATATTTTATAATAAAAGGTTCAATAATAGGTCAATTGATTCGTTTTTAAATATTCTCCAAATTGTTCATAATAATTTTAAAGTTATAGGGTAAGTGCATCAATTACGGCGAGATTTAAAAAAATTATTTTACTCTTTTTTTGTTACAATTACTAATAAAGATGCACATTTAACCAATTATTAATTTAATTATTTGAAATTTAATTTAATTATTAAATTTTTTCCCTCGCCGTAATTGAAACATTTTTAAGATTTCCATCGGCTTCAATTACGGCGGGCAAAGTATTTTTAAAATACACGTAATTTTGGTCACCGAAATTGATACACCGAAATTGATACAAACGCTCCGGAATAGAAAATTACGGTATTAGTTTTAATTTCTCATATTTTTTTAAATAATAGATTTTTATAAAGTTAAAATTTTTTTTAATATCTAAATAACATAACCTTTTAGTTTAATAAATCTTAAATTGACTTTATACAATAGAAATGTCGAATTTTCTATTCCAAATGTGTTTTGACTCGAATCGCACCGTAATTAGTGCATATACCCTATAAAGATTTATAAATGATTAATGCAAAAAAGGCAGGTTTTTCAAAATTTTTCAATTTCAAAATGTTAATAACTCTGGATAAAATAAAAGTGGGATATTTACTAATAGGTCAAAAGATGTGTCTTGAAAAACTCTACAAAACTAGAGATAAATATTTATTGTTGTCCTTACATTTTTTTAAAGTCATGGGCAAGAAACGTATTTTTCAAAATTTTAAAAACTCAATAACTTTGGATAGAATAACAGTAGAATGTTCGATAATAGCTCAAAATATGCGTCTTAAAAAACTCTACAAAATTAAAGAAAAATATTCATAGGTGTCCTAACATTTTTTTTAATTTATGGGCAAAAAACGATTTTTCAGAAATTTTAAAATGCTAAAAAATAATAGTTAATCTTTATTAATGTGGCTCAAAGTACTCTCATTATTTGTCCGCCAGTGACCTTCAATGTAATTTTTGGATTCCTGAGGTCGAAAAACATAAAGATATATCAAAAAATCCAGTTCGAAAAATTTCAGTATTAGAATGCTTCCTCTATAAGAATGCGAAAACAGTTAAAATATTCAAAAGTCCGCCTATTGTTTTCTTTTTACCGGAAATGTTTAAGGTTAACTGAAACATTCTGAGAACATTCCCGGAAAATTTTTGGTTTTTTCCCAGAATTCATGGAATTTTCCTTTCAATCAAGTAATTGATACTCCGGGATGACTCCAACGTACATCCAGATATCCAGGAGTCAATTGGACAACTTCATCAGGGAATTTTAGCTGTAATCAAACAATCAATACTCCAGGATGACTCCAACGTTCATCATGATGACTAGGAGTCAATCGGACAACTTCTCCAGGGAATTTTATCTGTAATCAAATAATCGATACTCCAGGATGACTCCAACGAACATCATGATGACTAGGAGTCAATTGGACAACTTCTCTGGGGAATTTTAGCTGTAATCAAACAATCGATACTCCAGGATGACTCCAACGTACATCATGATGACTAGGAGTCAATTGGACAACTTCTTCTGGGAATTTTCGGTTTAACCAAATAATCGAGTTTCTATGACAACTCCAACGTACATCCAGATACCCAGGTGTCAATTGGGCAACTTCTCCAGGGAATTTTAACTGTAATCAAATAATCGATACTCCAAGATGACTCCAACGTACATCATGATGACTAGGAGTCAATTAAACAACTTCTTCAGGGAATTTTAGCTGTAATCAAATAATCAACAGGATGACTCTAACGTACATCATAATGACTAGGAGTCAATTGGACAATTTTAGCTGTAATCAAATAATCAACAGGATGACTCTAACGTACATCATAATGACTAGGAGTCAATTGGACAATTTCTTCAGGGAATTTTAGCTGTAATAAAACAATCGATACTCCAGGATGACTCCAACGTACATCATGATGACTAGGAGTCAATTGGACAACTTCTCCAGAGAATTTTATCTGTAATAAAACAATCGATACTCCAGGATGACTCCAATGTACATCATGATGACTAGGAGTCAATTGGACAACTTCTCCAGAGAATTTTAGCTGTAATCAAATAATCGATACTCCAGGATGACTCCAACGTACATCATGATTACTAGGAGTCAATTGGACAACTTCTCTAGGGAATTTAAACTGTACTCAAATAATCGATACTCCAGGATGACTCTAACGTACATCATGATGACTAGGAGTCAATTGCACAACTTCTTCAGGGAATTTTCGTTTCAACCAAATAATCGAGTTTTTAAGACAACCCCAACGTACATCCGGATACCCAGGAGTGTATTGGTCAACTTCTTCAGAGAATTTTACACGGAGAAAATTTAAGTATCACTTTTTGTTAAACTCATATGTATTTTTAGTAAATTGACTACTAAAGTGGGGAAAAAACGAGAAGAAGACAAAATTTCTTATTTAATAGAAGTCTCTTTAACAATATATGACCTCTTTTTTTCAATATTTAGTAGTCAAGTTAAGAAAAATTCGACGTGGACAGTGTCGTAATTTAAAAGGGTTAGATGAAGCCCCGACTTAATCGCAACAATTATTCATTAACTTTTAATTATATCATAAATAATATTAATGAGGCTTTAATGTATAGGTTATTTTTCGTTTTCTGTGTTTAAAATTTCACAATCCGGTTAGATTATACATTGAAAATACATTTTTTATGAAGTTAGGGGCGCTTAAAACATCAAGTACTCTTCTGAGCACATGTGAGCTTGTCTATGAAACCCCCCAAAAAAAATATATCATGTCATGTACATCTCTTATATGAGAGATTCATTTTCAATCGCCCCAGCCCAAAAAGTCAATGTTCTGGGATTGGCTTCATACTTTGGTAAATTGTTCTC